CAAAAATGTGGGTCAAGTGAAAATACATTGAAAATAACATTTGGGGGTAGGGGCTGTCTTTTTATTATAAGGGTCCTAAGTGCCAAGCACTAGAGGGGTCTGATTCTTGACTAAGGCCTTCACAACATATAACAATAAAACACAATATGTTTGTTATACGCAGCCTTGGATCAGTGACAGTAGCCAGGTGTATCTTGCAAATTACCAGTGCTAAAAGCACAGGGTCAGACTAACTACTTCAATAAGCAAATGTAACCATTGGAGTGACTGCACATTGACCCGTGTCATACAATAGGGGTATTAACTTCTATTTCCAGGCTTCTGCCACCTGACCAAGGCCAGGGTTACAGAGGTTAATGAGCTGGTGTTTTCTTTTACAGAAGACTGATTTCAATTGATTTTCACTGTGTGCTGTGATCTTGTTAGCTGTTCTAAGATTAGCTTGATAAGGATTCCTCATGGCATGGATGGGAGACCTTCAAGGAAAATGCAAGTGCGCCACAGGAAATGCTATTCTTAATTCATTTGGTGTGTACTTCTCTCCAGTTCAGCACAGGAGCTGACACAGTGCTAAAGGACACTGTAGCTAGAGAAAGGTAAAGGAGAGATCAAGTCAAGAAACTGATAGGTTGGGATCATCAATGCCCCTGTGACACTTTTCGGAAGAGTAGAGATATTGGTCCAGGGACTCCGATCAAATTTCAATGCAAAGTTTCATAATCCCTGAAATTAAGATGGAAAAGTTTAAAAGTTTAACTTGCTTATATGCCTCATGTCCTATTTCAGTCCATAGCCTGTGTAGTTTTCATACTTCTCTCACCTTGTACAGAGAAAGCAGACTAAATTTCACTTTCTATTTGCAGTCAGAGTTGGTTTCCTGTTCTCGTGCATTAGCACAAACATCACTGTGTTTGAGTTTCCAGTACTGTAGGTAAATTCTTCCAAACTTTAAAATGTTGCCTGGACACTGATTCTAGTTGCATTACATTTTATACATTTATGATTTTCTCTCCACCACCCCATAACCAAAATTTGGGACTATGATATTTGTCATAATGTCAGTAAGAGAAGGCCCATCCTCTATTGTCCTGTGAAGCCTTCTAAGCATTCTCTTTCCACTTTTGATTTGTATTCATCCAGTTCTTCTGCTTTCGTATAACCTGGATTCCCCAATCCAAGCAGATGTATATCCTCTCATTTCCATGCCACCCCCAGCTTTGAATCTCTCCTTCTGTGAGTCTTTGATCTTTGTTTCAAAATCTTTAGGGGGTTCTCTGTTTACTGTGAAATTTGTCTTTCCCCTCTTTTCTCCCCTATTCAAGGTTTTTGAACACCTTCAGGAGTGAGACAAAAACTTACACTGAGATGCTGGCACTTTTGTCTAATTCCCCAATCAACTTGATCTCTTCACTCGCCTTGTCAGGCTTAAATGTCATTGTGCTATTCATGTAGATGTTTCAAGATAGCTTACAGTCCTCCCTCTTTCAGTGTTTCAAATTGTACTTCTATTTCCAGCATGTCAGAGGTCCTTTCATACTCTCTGTAAAAAGCTGCTCTGAGCAGCTTGTTCTATTCAGGTGCCAACTTCAGAACTTGAGTCACTTTGGACAAGCCACTGCTAAAGAATTAATTTGTAAACTGCCTGTTGTCATCTCAGATTACAGCTCAGACTTTTGTGTGGTTCCTTCACCAATCCATTTGTGACTGCCTTGTATCTTTTCAACAATAAATTGATGGGGGAGCAGAGGGGAGAAAGCTATCATGTCCCATTATGTAGGAGAATTTGGGGTTGGGGTGGGGAAGGACGGGGACTATGCAAGGACATCAGTGATTGTTCAGATTGGTCCAGCAATCCCTGCAGTGGATCACCCACTCGGAGGAGGACAGATCAAAGAGGCTGCAGTAGCAGTTCCATTTGCTCTGTGCAGACTGGAGGAAAACATTTCTTACCCTCCACCCTCATGAAGGGCCCTCAAACATGGCCTGGCCCTGTGTTTTTAGTTCTGGTCATTGGAAAGATCTCATACCTTACAAGTGTCACTGAGCCATGTCTCAACCCCTTCACTAGTCATCCTCAAATAGCTGCCTCTCACTTGCTCCTTTCTTTTTAACAAGAACCTTGAATAGAAACAAGGGCAGGTGACAGAACAGATTGAAAATTACACTTAAGGGGCAGGGATTAGGTACTGGTAAATACTAATTTTCAGGGCAGGTCCCCAGGGATCTTTGTCTTGCTTGCCTGTCTCAGTGCTATGAGATGCTCATCTCCTATTGATCTGTCTATTGGACACAATACACTGCCAGGTCTCCTTTTGCTACTTTCAGCTAGTTCCATGGTAGCTCAGGTCCTTTCCTATGTTTGAGCCCTTTGCTTGGTGCACCTCCCCACTCCTAGCTGGCAAAACCAGTACCTTTCCTTTACTCAGACCTTTCTCCAATGCTCACCCCAGCTTGCGACCCCAGAAATGTACATTCATTACAATAATTACTAAACATATCCAGTGACTCCCTGTTTCTTCCCCTCCCCCAGCTACATTTGCCTTCTGTAGAGTGCAAGCTCATCAGCACAGTTTGGGCCAACTCCTCAGCTGCTGCAAATCCAAAGAGCTTGATTAATTTTAGTGGAGTTAAGCCTGTTTACGCCAGCTGACACACTGGCCCACAGCCTTTTTTTCTTTGTGTCTTAAACAGCACAGAGCCTATTGTTAATTCTAAATAAGTACTAATAAAACAATAGAGTATGGCACTTGGAACTGTTCTGGTCTCTAGCAGATCAGCAGGCAGTAAAAAGATTCATGGGGGGATACAAAAGTAAAAGGCCCTTGAAAGGGGTTTTATATGATCCATGAATGGCAGAATGGAACAATCAATGGCAATTTTGCACAACCAAGGGGTTTGTTTTTCAAGCAGAGGCTACATAAAATGTTAACTAACTGATCAAACTGGTCTCACATTAATAAGCAATATGTGACTAATAGAATGCTGAAAGGCTGGCAGGGACAGAAAGACATCAGCTCATCAAAGAGGCATTGAGATTTTTACTTTAGAAAAATAACATAATTCACCAAATACCATCTTCATGAGATTTGTGCTGGCTTTCACAGGCACTAATGCATCTGGTGAAAGAAAGTTGTCAGTATTGAAAGACATTTAGATCTAAGAGGAAGCACAACTGTCAGCAGAGACAGCAAAGCAATGACTGGGGTTAAGGCCCATCCGGGTAGTAATAGCTGTGAAAATAAGATTAAAAGGGATAAAGCAGCATCTTCCATCTAAAGGAACCTCTTTTCTTTTATATTAACCCAAATATTGTTTTCTCCCCCCCTTTTCTTGATTGCAAGTTGGCATTAGACAGATTCTGGAACCACAGTTAATGGATAAGTGGATTTGTCTCATACTGCAGCTTTACACAGTGTGCTACTGTGGGCGTTACTAATTGCTAAGCAGATTTAAAGTGTTCTTTGAGTTGCAAACTGCAGTATTTCTGCACATACTGATTATTATTCATCTTTTCCAAAACACTATGGACCTGATCCTGCAATCTGCACTCCTACTAAAGTCAGTGCTGTGGGAGTTTTGCCTGAGTAGAGATTGCAAGATTAAGACCCAATGAAAATAGCTGTAAATTTGAGCTGGGCAGCAAACAGTTCCTCCTCTCTCCTCTGGAAACCTTTTTAAATGCTTATGAGGTAGAACTAGGCCTCAAACTGCAAACTCCCACATCCTAGTTCAGTACCCTAACAACCCAGGCTATGGTCTATTCTGGGATCCATCCATCCTGGAATTTGTCTGTCTGTCTCTTATTTCCTCCTCCTCCCAGTCCCTTCATTTTTCACCAGAAATTGCATCCTTGACCCCCTCAAAAACCCTTTCCCAATCTCAACTAGTAAATTCCCACTTTACTGGAAAATTCCCAACCCACTCTACTGAAGGGTATAATTCCATGAGTCCTAGAGAGGTTCATGTACCTCCTCATAGCTCAGTCTGATTCTGGGGTTGGGATTTTTTGTTTGCTGGCTAGCTATTTTTCCCAGTTTTGATGTGGCTATTTTCATTTCTTAGGGGAATGAATTCTGCAGTCCTGTCCCATGAAAAAAAATTCCCTCCAGACCTCACAAACCTCCCTCACTGGCCCACAGCACGATTGTGACAGGAGAATGTAGCCGTGGGAGAAGGTCATGGCTGCATAAAGGGAGCTGGGGCCAGCTCCATGTATGGCTGTGACTTATTAGGACAGAGACCTTGAATTGGATTCAGTACTGAATGGTGCGCCAGCGCAGAGAATGGAACAGTGGCGTGATGTGTTCATGGAAACCTTCGTTGCTAAGCAGAGAGGATGCTGTGCTTTGTACCAAGTGGAGCTTTTATAGATTATGAAGTTTCATTCCTTGAGATAAGTTACAGTAACAGAGCCTGAAAGTGACAAACGTGTGTGTGCCATGGCCTTGCTGGAGTTGGTAAGCTGGGGTATAGTCCCCTGGCTAGTCAGAGGTAGAAGTGGGTGGTTAGCAGCTGTAAGACCTGGGCATCTGACAGCTGTGAAGCCCTCTAAGCTGCACACTAATTAAATGTGAACACAGGGCATGGGGGCAGCTGCAACACTGTTGTACCAGCAGCTTCCATCTCTCCACCCAATGAAGCCTGTGTGAGCCCTTTCCACCCCAGAATACACACACTGGCAAGAGTCACCATCAAGCCCTTTAGTGCTACCCAACACCTATTTGTTCAGAAAACACATTAAGTGAAATCCTGGACCTACTGAAATCAGTGGCCAAATCCCACTGACTGCAGCAGGACCAGAATTTCATCCGTGGTGTCCGCAAATATCATTGAGGGTGAAAAATGCTCAGTCAAAAACGCAAGCAAAGAAGAGAATTTTCAAAGGTCACAATTAGTTACTTTTCGACTGTGTGGGTGTTTAATAATGAACCTTGGGACCTGGGCCACGTTAGCCCTAATTATAGCTCGTTAAATATTTATATAGCTTAATCTTTTCTCACCTGGGTTGTTTTGTTGCAATATGATGTGTTTGTGCTGCTGACCTTTTCCTTCTAACTTGGCTCTTTGTTCACCTCACAGGTTTCTGATCCACTCTCACTCGTGTTTGAAAAAGTTGGGGATGGGAATGCATCTCCCCGAGACAGAACCTAGAGCAATAAGAATGCCCTGTTAAGAAAAACAAAGAGAATTTCAGCAGAATCTCCTCCACCAAAGGAGTTTACACAGCTTTTTTCATAATGCAAAATAAAAGATTTCATGAAAATTAGCTGCCAGATCTCCCCTAAGGAATCAACTGGGACAACCACGCTCATTTCCATGTGAGACCTCAGGCAGATTGGAGCTGACATTGCTAGTGGTAACAGGCTAGTGCATTAACTCTGTGCCACCCCTTGCTACTACCAAGGCTGTACTGGATGAACTAAAACCAGGTGGGAGTAAGATGAGCTATGAATGGCAGCAGATATTGTGTTAGCAGTGCAGCCCCTCTGTTTCAAGTCACTTGTTAAAATAATCCTTTTTCCTAAAGACCTAAAAGCATTATTCCTCTTGCCATGGGACAGCTAATAAAATTACTTGTCCAAATTACAAATGCAAAATAAATAATATTGATTACAATAATCTGAATAAAACTTGTGAGATAGCGCCACGAATGCTAAACTCAGTCTTTGCTTACGCTGCTGGGAGCAAGAGATGCAGCACACATCGGGCTGAGCATGTAATGATGGATGGGTGGGTGGATGAGTGGGGCATGGGCCCCAGGTGCCAACTAAGGGAGGGAAGGGGCATTAGAATGGAGCTAGAGAGCACCTCACCCCCCATCCTCTACTCCCACCTGCGCCCTGCACTTTCCTTGCAGCAGCTCTGGTTCCAGCAGTGCGGGGGGTCAGAGATGTGGCACTGGAATGTGGTCAGGAGGCACAGCTAGAGGTTCCCTGCTGCTGCAGGAGATATTACCCGCTATGTTGGCACTGAAATCTGATGGTTTCTTGGCCACTTGACAGGCAAGTCATTGGCAAAATTAGGTGACATCTCCCCCAGCAGCAGCGAGCCTCTGGCCACTCCTCCTGCACTGCTGCTGCTGATCTGCCCTTTCTGCTGCTAGGGCTGGAGCTGCAACAGGGAAGGTGCAGATGCAGGAGGGCACAGTCCTGGCTCCTATGCTTCTGCAACAGACACTGAAGTGTTGATACCTGGCCAGTTGAGGATAACTGGTAGTGTGAGTTTCACCCAATAATTTGGATCAGATGTGTGGCAGGATGTATCCTGCTTACCGTCCTCTTTCTTACAGTGCATCCTGCTATAGCTGATCTGCTTTATTTCATAGACATTAGCACTGTCTGTTTTTGCCTTGTGTAATCCCTATACTGTTCTGCCATTACTTTAGGCTGTTTGACTCCTTCCCTGTCTTTGCTGCCAACTGTGCTTTGTACCTGTTTGACATTCATGGGAGCCACAGAAAAAGGTTCAGCCTCTTACAAGTTCTTTTTCTCAGTACCTCAGCTTTAGATACCCAGATTTGAAAATGTTGGCCTTTATGCCTAGAAATTTCTCATCCCCAAACAAGTACACCACAGGCACTGCTAATTTTTTTAACTTGAAGACAAAATACTTTTAAAATTAAAAGAAGATGCATGGTTGAGGAATTTCCTTCCACACTGGCCCTTCCTCTGAAATCAAACTGTCTTTTTCAAAATTACCTCACCAAGACACAAGCCGAGCAGCATTGGAAGGATCGCTGATTGTAACAACCAAACAGCCACAGCAGTAGATCCACTGATCCAGGTCACTGAATTCATTCTGGTGAAGGCCAGCCTTAGTTGAAAGACGAGGGGGTGAAAAGCACCTTGGTCAAATTCGCAGATGACACTAAGATGTGGGGAGAAGTGGGCACGCTAGAGGGGAGGGACAGGCTGCAATTGGATCTGGACAGGTCACAGGGGTGGGCAGATGAGAACAGGATGGGTTTCAGCAATGACAAGTGCAGGGTACTACACCTAGGGAGGAATCAGCAGCAGCATACCTACAGGCTGGGGAACTCCCCTCTCATCAGCACAGAGGCAGAAAAGGATCTTGGAGTCATTATTGATTCTGAGAGGAACATGGGCTGCCAATGTGAGGACGCGGTCAGGAAGGCTAACTGCACCTTGTCATGCATCCACAGATGCATCATGAGCAGGTCCTGAAACTATACCTGGTAGCTGCCCCTATGTGTGAAGACTGAAACAAAAAAGGCAGTAAATACTTCAGCCTTCTCTGCATCATAGATTTAATAGATTTTAGGGTCAGAAGGAACCTATTAGATCATAGAGTCCAACCCCCTGCCCTGGGCAGGAAAGAGCGCTGGGGTCAAGTAACCCCAGCCTGGTGCTTGCTTATCTCCTTTTGAACACCT